TCAAAGCATCCATCTTACATCACTAGTGGACCTTAGACAGCCTAGAATTATGCCTGTGACATATGGCCCAATGTTATCCCCACTGCTACCAACCCCTCTAAAGCAGCTGGTGGAAGTAGAGAAAACATGTCATAATTGTTTATTCTTTATGGTAGTGGCATGTGGACGGGATTTAGGGGTTACTATTTTTTTTTTATAGGAAAGGAATAGATAAGTAATAGACTGACTGTGGTAATTGAAATCATCTAAAGGGAACAACTTAACTTTATTCTCACTCTCAGAGAAGAGAAAAGATAAATAACAGAGGTAATAATAATAATAAACCAAAGGATTATATTTTTTAGCAAAATATTTTTTGTTTTTTATTACTAAGGCTGGGCTTGATGACAGATTCTCCTTTGATGACCGCTAAGCAAGTGGATCAAATTGCTGAAGAGTATTTGAAAATACTGAGAATATATATTTTACTTTTCAATGCTAAAACACAAGGAGAATTCTAAAGTAAAAATGAAGTATTGGAGGGGAGATGACACTGATAATCGGTGCTTACTATGAATGATGCTTAAGTATCAAGGCTGGGCAAAGTATAAAGTCCTATTTTGCTTGAAAACCTGAGTTAAATACAGAAAAATCAGACATGAGATAATTTCCCATTATAAACTACTTCCAAACATTTCAAAGATGAAAAATAAGAGGCAATATCAGGACATCCTCAAAAGTGAGATTCAAGAGATGAGGAGGAAGATCAGTAGCTGAAAGCAGATGAACCAAGCATGAGATGATGACAGTGAATATGATCACCTTAATTTATTAAATATATAAGCTGCCAACTCCCATAGATTACCCACATTTGCAATTGTAGTGTAAGAATTCTAAACAAGAGATAAGCAGTGTGATGACAAGTACCAGGACAGCCCGTAGTAAAGACATCCTGTTTTGTTTTTAATGGCCAAAAGCTTATCAATTTTATAAGATTTGTAAGATTTTCATCTCGCTCTTTCCTGAAAACAGTGTGATTTGAGACAATATTTGAGAGGAGCCGAGGTGGTGTAGTGGTTAGAATGCAGTGTTGCAAGCAAACTCTGCCCACTGCCAGCAGTTTGATCCTGACTGGCTCATGGTTAACTCAGCCTTCCATCCTCCCAAGGTTGGCAAAATGAGGACCAAGATTGTTGGGGGCAATATGCTGACATTTGTAAACCACTCAAAAAGTGCTGTAAAGCACTGTGGAGTGGTAACTCCAAGTGCTATTGCTATTGACACATCACATTCTACACCTGGGAAGCACTTGCCCCATAATCAGCACATACGTCCCCACTAGAGAATTAAGCAGAGTCTGGCTTTTCCATTAAATACCTTTCTTCAGCTTTTTTCTGAAAGAGAAAAAAAGCCCCCACACATACCAGAAACCATGGAAGAATGTAGAAAGATACAACTATAGGTAGCCCTTGGGTTACAACCATTCGTTCAGTGACTGTTCAAAGTTATGACAATACTGAACGAGGGGAAGTTATACCAGCTTTTTGGTGGTACAGCGCCCCTGAAGTTACATTATCACAATTTGATGTTTTCTGTCAGTTTCTCACAAGCAAATCAACTGGGAAGCAACAGGAAGTCAGAACTTTGTGATCATGTGAGATCCTTGCTTAATGACCCACAAGGTCCTTGTCTAATGATGGCAACCATGACTTCCATCTCTAAATGACATGGTCATATGATATCCCATTTTACAACTGTGTTGCTTAGCAAGTTTCTGGTCCCAAATGCCATAAAAACACAAGGATTACCTGTACTAAAGATAATATTGGGGTTGGGTGTGGGGTTCGAGTATAAATATCTTTTAGAATTATTGTAAACAATGTCATTTATAGGAATCCTTTGTCTTTATACTTAATATACAATATAAAATAAGCACATGGACTTGAATGGACAATACTTCAAATTACTGAAGCATTACTCGGTGCAGATAGGAAAATCTGCTTAGGGGCTCTTAGGTTGCACTTACTGATTTCAAGAATTCCCTCTTACATTTTCCTTCTCCCATTTGGCTGGTATGTTCATTTTAACTGCAGCTGAATTAAAGTACTTTGTCCTGTTGGTTAATCTTAGTGCAATATGATGCAGTTGTCACCAATAATTTTCTCTATGGTCTCCTTCTACTAGAGGTGGGTAAACTATTTCTGGAATGTACCACTTTAGATTGCAAGTAAGAAACCACATCATTTCTCAAACAACAAAACACACACATCTCTGAAATTCCTAGTCTAAACCTTTCTTCCTATAATAGTGGAGATAAAATTGGAAGTTGTGTATAATTTTGTTCTTATTTTTGGCACTGTAGAATCACACAAAAAAACCTGAAAGCATGAAAATATAATAATTTCCCTTACCTATCAATACTCATGTTTTCTTAACTGCTCCAATACACTTTTTGAACTGTGCTGATTTAACTTTGTTTAACCTGAGCTCAAAATGCACTCAACTGCAGCAGATCCTATTGTTCTTTAAGGGGGCCCTTGTGGATATTTGGAGACAGGAAACATGCGGGTGGGGTAGGAATTTGAGGAACTGATTGTGTGTGTTTTGGAGATGGGATTACAATACTTTAAAATGAAAAATCTTTCAGAGATTAATTTAGGAAGCAATGCCCGGTTACATGGCTTTTAATCAAAAACTTGAAATACACACGTAAAAACATACACGCAGGCATGTACATTTGTTATTTATGTTTTGGCTAATTGGTTTTCTGCTTAGGCCTGAACCTCTTTCCAAGAGAACCTAGAAGTCATCTAGAATCAGTAGAGAAAAAACACAGGAAATTGCAAATAAAATCATTGACCAAAAAAAAAGAGGCTAGGCTGCATTAATAGAGGCACAGAATCAAGATCACATTTAATGTTAGCACCACATTATAATGCCTTGTTAAAACCACACTTGGAATATTGCATTCAGTTGCCAGGTTATAAAAAAGATGTTGTGACTCTAGAAAGAGTTTACATTGGCATCCTTCAGTCTCAAAAGACTATGGTATTGTGCTCTGGAAAGAGGTCCTAAAACAGCATCTAGTGTGACTAAAAAGGCCAATTCGAGAGTGGCAATCCCTTCCACACTGAGGGCAGATACATTCTGTCCCCTGCCCAGCCCCCAGATTTCTCTGGGACTGCCTCTTTGCCTCAGCCTGCCGAAAAAGTGTCTCTTCGAATTGGAGAAGTTCCATGCTAAAAGAGTGCAGGGAAGAGTAACAAAGATGATTAGAGGATTGGAGGCTATAAAGAATGGTTGCAGGAACTGAATATGTAAATCCTTGTTTAACGAAAAGAAGGATTAGGGGGTGACATGATAGCAGTTTTCCAATGTCTAAGAGGCTGCCACAAAGAAGGGGGTGGGGATCAACCTATTCTTCAAAGCATCTGAAGGCAGAACAAGAAGCAATAGATGGAAATTAACCAAGGAAAGATCCAAGAAAGAACTAAGGAGAAATTTTCCTTAGAACAATTGATCAGTGGAAGGTTTGCCTCCCGATTGTGAGTGCTCCATCACTGGAGGTTTTTAAGAAGAGATTGGACAACCATTTGTCTGAAATGGTATAGGGTTTCCTGCTTGAGCAGGGTGTTAGACTAGACGACCTCCAAGATTCCTTCCAACTCTGTTATTCTGTTAAAATGAGAGACTAAACTAAAGAAGGAAATTAGGGTTAAAGAACTGAAAATTCAAACACCATGACAAACAGCAAGTTCAGGAAAGAAACAGCACTAGCACTTAGATTTATATACCGCTCCATAGTGCTTTACAGCACTCTCTGAATAGTTTACAATGTCAGCATATTGCCCCCAACAATTTCATTTCAATTCAATTCAAATCTTTATTGTCAGTGCACAACATATGTGCAATGAGATTGGCTGAGCTCCCTCAGTGCACTCCACCCCCCGCCCCCCAAATACAATACAACTCACAGTGAAGATATTTTAACTATCTCTGAAGGATGGAATACTAAGTCAACCTTGAGCTAGTCAGGACCGAAATCCTGGCTGGGGGCAGAATTAACCTGCAATACTGCATTCTAACTACTGTGCCACCATAGCACAGAAGAGTTTTCCTCTCTCGCTGTTAGATATACAGACCAGGTTGAGCAGATGAGGGGGAAAGTCCCAACTATACAGAATGTCTCCTCTGAGCCATCACACTCATTCTTATTCATCTATAATCTTTGCTATCCTTGCAATATAGTGAGAACTGCCCTTAAAAACATTTATATTTTCTTAGTTCCTATTATACTACATGTGCAAGAAAAGCTGAACCTGCAGACTTTATGTTCATTTAGGCTCAGTTCTGCTATGGAACTAAACCTGATATGAAGTTACTCAATTAAGTACAGTAGCAAAAACACACAAAAGAATAACGTGGTAAAACAAATATCCAATACTTTTCAGTAACAAAGTATATTCAAATGTTAATTATTAACTAAATTCATGTTAAAAACCTTGTTTTTCAGAAAATGTATTAAAGTTACATATGCAATTTCTCTAATCACAGTTGAAGTAAAAAGCATCATACCAAGTATGCTTGATTTTCACTGTAAAACTTAAGTGCTTGAAAGGTTTCATGATAATACCAACAATGCTAGTTTAAGAATTCATCCATATAATTATGAAATCAATACATTTGTTCTAAGACATTTTGAAAGTTTTTATTCTGTAGTAAAAGATAAGCATCCCTCATGTGATTACTGTGGTTGATGTTATGATTAGTTAAATATTAAAATATGTTCTATGCCTACGTTTCTTTAAAACACTGATTTGTTTAACTACATTTAGTGAGTATGTCAGGAGCATCATTTAGATCTGCTGATTGCTAAATGTGAATGAGAGTTTAATAACTATCATTATTTAACAGAAACCTATAAAGGAGCAGTGTCTTTCTTTCTGTTAGGAAGAGACAGGATGCTATTTTTGTAATTGGATGCAAAGTGTTGGTATAGGAAAAAAATAAACAGTGCAGTTTTCATTGGCCATATTTCTCACCAATGTCAAACACTCTAAAACCTCTGGGAATCTTCTATAATGATAATTAACATGTCAGAATGAAGGTAATGCATATATACAGTTGCAAGAAAAAGTATGTGAACCCCTTGGGATTACGTGGAGTTTTGCATGAATTGGTCATAAAATGGACGTTGGTCTTACCTGATACGTCCTTTCTCGACATGAGGAAAAACGTCAGTCAGAGTGGGGATATGTCCTGTCCAGCCAATGACCGAGTCCTATCCAAGCTAAAGCTCCGCCCCCTCGAGGCTGCCCCAGTTCTTCGCTGAGGCGAAGCAATGGACTCGTGTGACGTGTCCTCCTGAAACGATAGAAAATTAATATCACCCCCCCAACCACCACCGGAATGTACCCAAGGGTGGGGCTGACTGACGTTTTTCCTCATGTCGAGAAAGGACGTATCAGGTAAGACCAACGTCCATTCTCCCACGAAGAGGAAAAATGTCAGTCAGAGTGGGGACATACCAAAGCTTGATGTCACCAGGGAGGGAAGGTACTGGTCCGGTAACCTCTAAGCGAGATGGACCGACTGAGCACCCTTCTGCCGAACGCAGCATCGGCGGAAGCGAAGGAGTCCACTCTGTAATGTCTGACGAAGGGACTGATAGTAGTCCATGTGGCCGCTCGACAGACTTCCTCGAGTGGAGCCTGAGTCGCCCAGGCGGCCGACGTCGAAGCACTCCTTGTTGAATGTGCAGTGATGGGATGAGGAAGAGGAGAGTCAGATTGACGGTAAACCAAGGCAATCGTGGCCCTAATCCAGCGGCCCAAAGTCACACTCGATACTCGGACCCGAAGAGATGCCGGATGGAAAGCAACAAACAGGGCCTCCATCTTCCGGTGAGACGCCATTCGGGTTATATAAATCTTTAATGCCCTGCGTACATCCAGCGTGTGCCAGGCTCTCTCCAGCCGATGAGAAGGGCGAGGACAAAAGTCAGGGAGAATGAGCTCCTGTGCTCTGTGAAAAGGTGAATTTACTTTGGGAACAAATGATGGGTCTAGCCGGAGTACCACCCTGTCATTGTGGAAGATGCATAAGTCCACCCGCACGGACAATGCTGCCAGTTCTGAAATCCTGCGGGAGGAAGTAATTGCCACTAAGAATGCAACCTTCAAAGAAAGGAAGTGGAGAGAAACAGAACAGAGAGGCTCGAAGGGAGGAGACATGAGGGCTTTAAGGACCTTATTCAGGTTCCATGTAGGAAACCGATGTACTGTAGGGGGCCGTAAATTCGTAGCTCCTCGAAGGAAAGTCGTGATGATTGGATGACGTGAGATGGAATCCCTCGAGCCGCAAGACAAAATAGAGGCAATGGCGGCCACTTGGTGTCGTAACGTGTTGGGCCAAAGTCCTTTGCGAAGGCCAGCTTGAAGAAAGGTCAAAACGTGGATAATTGAAGCTGAAGTAGGCAACACCGGAACTGAAGAACACCAAGAGGCAAAGGACCTCCACGTGGCCTCATAAATTCGGACCGTAGAGGGTCGGCGAGCAGCCTGAATCGTGGAGACGACCTCCGGAGGAACCCTGGCCTCCGTCAGGAGGAACCACTCAACCGCCAGACGGTTAAGCGAAGCCACTCCGGATCCTGGTGGATGAGAGGCCCTTGTGACAAGAGAACCTTGGAGACAGGGATCTGCCAAGGAGGAGCCACTGAGAGGTTCATCAAGTCCGCAAACCAGGGACGCATGGGCCAGAATGGAGCTACTAGGAGAAGCTGGGTCCGTTCTTCGAGTAATTTCCTTATGACCCTGGGGATCACCGGAAGGGGAGGGAAAGCATATAGAAGCCCAGGTGGCCAAGGGCTGCGGAGGGCGTCCGTGGCTTCCGCCTGAAGGTCCAGGAACCTGGAAAAATAACGGGGAAGACGATGATTCATACGAGAAGCGAACAAATCCAGAACAGGACATCCAAATCTCGAAACGATGTCTTGGAAGAGCTCCGGGGAAATAGACCACTCGCCCTGATCCACCTGCGAACGACTGAGAGAATCAGCCTGGATGTTGTCGGATCCCGAAAAGTAATCTGCCCTGATGGAAGCCAGGTGCTCCTCAGCCCATATGCCCAGTAGACGGGCCTCGTCCATCAGGGAACGAGACCTAGTACCCCCCAATCTATTTATGTGGGCCTTAGCTGTAGTGTTATCGGTTAGAACTAAGATATGTCTACCTTCCACTAAATCATGGAAATGTAACAAAGCGAGTCGAATGGCCCGCAATTCCAACAAGTTGATACTGAGGCTAGCTTCCTGAGAGGTCCACCGACCCTGGGCCATGTGGTGTTGAAGATGAGCCCCCCAGCCGGAGAGACTCGCATCCGTAGTAAGCTGGAGTCTCTGAGGTTCTCTGAAAGAAGATCCCTGGGATAAAGCAGGCGAAGTCCACCAGAGGAGGAAGCGGAGAACCGGTTCAGGTAGCCGGATGCGACGGGAAGAGACCTCTAGATTCGCGCGTTGAAATGGCAACAGAAGCCATTGAAGCTCCCGACTATGCAGACGTGACCATGGTGTAATACCGAAGGTGGAAACCATCATGCCCAACAGACGGGAAAGAACGAGAACAGTCGCCGTGCCAGCTGCTAGACATTTACGAGCCAAGGAACGGAGATTGGACTGGCATTCCGGCGAGAGGCAAAGTGTCGTAGAAAGGGTGTCAATAGAGGCCCCTAAATGAAGAATACCGGTGGAAGGGGACAGGTGGCTCTTGGACCAATTTATTGAAAAACCATGGGTTTGAAGGGAGGAAAGGACAAAGGACAAGTCCTCGTGAGCTGCCCGAAGGGAAGGGGACGTAATTAATATGTCATCTAAATAAAACTGAAGGCGAATCAGATGGGATCGGATGTGTCCTATCAAGGAGGCCATAATCTTTGTAAATACCCTAGGGGCTGAGGAGAGCCTGAAGGGCAATGCCCTATACTGATAGTGAGCTCCCTTGAAAGCAAAATGGAGGAACTGTCGATGGGAAGGTAAGATAGGGACATACAGGTAGGCTTCTATTAGGTCGATGGAGGAAAGGAAATCAGAGGGACGAATAGATTCAAGAATCGACGAAAGGGACTGCATCTTGAACCGGCGGTATTTAATGTGCCGGTTCAACGACTTCAAGTCTAAAATGGGATGCCAACCCCCCGAAGCTTTCTGGACAACAAAAAGGCGGGAATAGAACCCGTGGCCCTGTTGGGAAACAGGGACCCTTTCAATGGCGGCGATTCGTAAAAGATGGTCAATAGCCTCTGAAATAATCCCCGCTTTAACTGGGTCCCGGGAAACGGGGCATGGAAGAAAACGGAAGGGGGGAGGGGAGGAGAACTCTAATGCCAACCCAAAGGAAATGGTGTTAAGCACCCAGGAATCGCTGATGGAGGAAGCCCATTGATCCCGAAAGAATGAGAGGCGACCCCCAATAGGCGATTGAAAAAGCTCTTCACCTAGCCCTGCGAGACCAACGACCCCCCCTACCACCTCGGTATGCCCTACGAGGGGGAAATCTGGACCCTTGTCTAACCTGGGAATCCGGTTGAGGTCTGGAGGAAAAGGATCGTTGACCCCGAGGTTGGAAGGAGGAGGGACCAGAGGCCCGAAAGGACTGAAACCGCGAAGATGAGAAACGGGAATCAGAACGACGAGTAGCCGGAGGAAGAATTTTTCGTCGATCCCTGGTCTCGACAAGCAGGGGCTCCAAGGCTGAACCAAAGAGGGACCCACTGGCGTAAGGAGCCGAAGCGAGTTGCCATTTACTGCGCATGTCGGCTTGCCAGTTTCTGAGCCATAAGAGTCAGCGAGATGTTACATTAGCACCTAAGGCTCTGGCTGAAAAACGCGTGGAATTCAATGTGGCGTCCGCTGAAAATTCGAGAGCTGCAGCAATCTTATTTAAGTCCTGGTGAGACCTTGCGTCCAAGAGAGGGAGCCTGGCCTGTAGTTGTTTAAGCCAGAGTAAGGCCGCTCTGTTAAAAAAAGAGGCCAAAGTGGAGGCCCGAATGGACCAGGCTGTAGCTTGGTGTCCTTTCAGAAGAGTCTTTTCAGCTCTCTTGTCCTCAGGTCTAAGAGAATCTTCGGGAGGTCCTGTGGGATGAGATGAATCAGTCAAGGTTACGATGGGAGGATCTACCGGAGGAACCTGTAGAATATCCGCTAGAGGAGAGGCAGAATTGTAGAACCGTTTGTCCAAGCCATTCGGGCTAGGACCAGCCCCAGGCAAGGCCCACTGGCGTTGTAGAACGTCGGTAAACAACTTCGGGGCTGGAAAGGTTTAGGGTTCGCTGGTGGGCTCTACAAACATGACCGCTGCAGGGTCCGATGTCGATGAAGGTGGAGCAGCCGAGGGAGGGGAACCCAAGCGAGTAATGGCAATGGCCTTAAATAGCAAGGAGCGAAAGAGCTGAGGTTTGAAAAGGCCAATAAAGGCCAGTTGGTCGGGCCCCAAACCCTCATCATCTGACCAGGCTTGATCCTGATAATCCTTGCCTCTGAAACCGAGGCTTGGTCGAGGTTAACCTGGGGAACAGATTGTTCCTGATTCATCAAGGAACCCTCCCGGGCCTCAAAAAGGGGTTGAGGGGAGACCCTTAAGCCGGTAGAAACTGGAGCCTGGCTCAGGCATTCAGAAATAGTTTGTCTGATAGCCCTAGAAATAAAGGCTTCCAAAGAGTCAGTCATAGGAGTAGCTGGAATTGGGGGTGGAGGTGGAGGGACAGGAGGCTGTCCAGAATCCGGAAGGGTCTGAAAAAGTCTCTGGGGCTCCGAAGGAGAGACCGCGTGAGGGTCCCCTAAAACATCAGGGGAGAGGTCCCTCACCGAACGAGGAGAGCGTGACACCGAAGGTGGTTGGGAGACAGGCCTCTCAGGATTTAAGGCATGTGACTGTGCCTTCAAAAAGGCCTTTTCTATGGCCTTATGGCGACGCTGCTCCTCACGTGAAGTCCCAGATTTTGAAGATTGGGAATTATCCCGTTTAGAACGGGATCTTTTACTTGGCGGAGGCAGCGAGGTAGATGATCCCTCGAGGGGGTCGCTGGGATGGCACCTTTTGGTGGATGAGGAGGAAGGCCGGTCGGAGCTCCGCATGGCAGCCGCCATTTTGAAGTTAATTGGAGCTGCCGAAATGGGCGCCAACAGACAAAAAACGAGTAGCGCTCTCTCCGCAGTAAACTCAAGCCCAGGAAAGCGCGCGCCCACATCGCAAGCCCTCCGGCTATGAGCGACGGCTGTGGGTTAAGGCGAGCATCCGCTCCAGCCTTATCTCTCCGATCACCCCCGTTAGTGCCGATCAGCTGGAGAAATAGGCGCTCTTCAGTCGCTAGCCGTCCAGCTACAATCGCGACTCGGGGAACTGGCGAGGAGCCGCTAGCGCCATAATAGCTGCTAGGCAAAGGCCGTTTACACGCAGCACAAATTTAGGTGAAAAAAACTGTCCCGCTGCGAGGCGCGAAGCCTGCAGATCGAGAAACACTTGCCAGTTGAGAAGAAAGTCGTAGGCAGCGAAAGGAGACTAGTAGAGATGTGAGGAAAACTGTCTTCAGAGGAGGACACATCCTGTCAGGCGAAGACCGAGACGAAGAACTGGGGCAGCCTCAAGGGGGCGGAGCTTTAGCTTGGATAGGACTCGGTCATTGGCTGGACGGGATGTATCCCCACTCTGACTGACGTTTTTCCTCTTCGTAGGAGAATGTGCTCTGAACTTCATCTAAGTCACAACAATAGAAAAACACAATCAAAGTCGCAATGCATGTAAAAATAATTGGGGCTTTGATCCCATGATGACATCCCAGTCGGCATCTTGACTTTTTTTTGATCCTTCCATGTTAATAAATATTCCTGGGAAGCACATCTGCTGGTTACTAAGGCTGAAACTAACTCATATCCTTGGAACCTCTGGAACCCACCAGACTTTTGAAGCAAAGCAAAAAAATAGGCAGACTAAACAAAACTTAGTATCATTCTTTTCACCACCCATTGTTTTCCCACAAAGCATTCTAAACATATGATTACCTTAAACACATACATTTGGAACACAATAGGAAAAAAATGCCAGGGAGGAGAGGAAGGATTTAAAATGGGCAAACTAACAGAGAACTGCATGCCTATACTCAAATCTCTCACAACCGTTTTTTCCCCCTCTAAGAAAAATAGCTGTATGTGTGACATATACACAGTAACTGTACTTATAAGTGAAAGAAATTGAAAAGGTTGGACGGAAGTTTGGGGGAGTTTCCAACAGTTATTTCCAGAAAACTCATTATGTGGAAGTATAATGTTACAATCCAAGATGTGGGTGGAGGTGGAAGGATGAGATTTTCTTGCAGTTCTCTATGTCCTGCAAATACCTTCCTTCCTATTTCCTTATATGGAATATTTCCTCTCCCCATCTCTTCTTTTCTAAATCAATTTGTTTGTGACAAAAAGAGATGATATTCTGAACAAACTGCAAATGTCAAAACTTCTTGAATTCAATGTAATGTAGGGCAAAGGTTCTGTTCTCCAAATAAAACTTGTTTTCTACATTATACTGAGATAAATAATAATTAAAAATACACAGTTCATATAAAGATAAATTAAAGAACAATTAACAAACCAAAGTTAGAACATGTGTTCAAAGTATATATATAATTGCACCAATTTCTTTAATCCATAAAGCACTTCTTGTTTCAGTACAGAGAATATTTCCAGTTAATAAAGTGACAGTGGGCATGTTTGTACTTAACTTAACTTAAATAATGATAGCTATAACTATTTGGGAAGAAGGATCTCGATGTTTAATAGCTATGTCTTCTTTACAGAACAAATCCTGGCCTAATGCTTAGATAGTGAGAACTCAGAATAATATTCTATTTGAAGCTTACAAGCCATTTATAGAACTGTCAGCAGAAATAAACTAACACAGAAACATGCATAAGAGATTTATTTATGAATAAGACAGTTGCTGCTGGCCTGACAGATTTCAAATTAACCATAATTTACACTGTGTCCAAGAGCCTCAATTCAGACATTTGCCTGAACATAAGGCAAAAATGAGCATATAGAAAGATGCAGCCTCTATGGGTTCAGGCAAGAGGTCTGAAAGGTGCATTTGTTTCAATCTAATAACCTGGGACTTTGCTTTATTTGAGTCCTGTCTTAAATAGAGTTCTATCCTTTTCAGGGTACCACCCAACATAGTTGTATAGTAGGAAAAAACTGGAGGAGGAAGTGCTTTGTATAGGACTTTGAGCTCCTAAAGGAAAGGCAGGATATAATCCTAATAATTAAATAAATAATCACTAAAACCATCAAGTAGAATATATGTTAATGAATTCATAACATTTGGAAACCTTCAAAGTCTGAATCTGTCTCTTGATTTAGGTGGCAAAATGGAGAAAAATGTCTTACCTCGAAGGCAGAGAAACGTAAGGAAATCTTCTGTCTTAGGCTTCCTTTTGGAGAGGTCAGAGATCTGTGTAGCTGGAGGGGGCAATAATGGCTCAACTATCTTTATTGGAGTTGTGCTGGGACTGTTTGGCTGAGACTGAGCAAACTTTCTTTGTG